CAATCCTACTTCCGTAGTGATAACTGCCTCGGAAACCCAAGGAGGGGTCGCTATGAGTCGGGGCCGACTCGACGGCACATAACAACAACAACAACAGTCTATGGCCATACCACCCTGAACATGGCCAATCTCCTCTGATCTCATAAAATAAAAATATCTGCCACGTAACTGATTTCCTACTACTGAAACCACTTAGAAATTTGGCTAATGACCTATTTGGTATGATTTAAGTGCCAATTTCCTTTTCTAGTCTTATCTCTGACTAATTCTCTTTATCAACCTTAAGTGCCAAGCATTTCCTGTGGGCTTTATTGTTTCTAAGCTTTGGCTGGTATCAATCAAGGCCCTCCATCTATTTGTTCCTGTCTTCACCTCACTCCCTAATATTGCCCATTAATTCTATTCACTCTTGAAGGCCCAATTCAAATACCACCTCATGTAAGAAGCCTTCCTCAATTCCTCACTGCAAAGAACTCTTTTGAGTTGTTCATTTGTATTACAGTAAGTCCCTGGATTACGAACATCCAAACATCCAATTTATAGACACCTTGTAAGCCCTTTAATGTCATGTACATTTGCCTTCACGTTGAAGCAATTGAACTAACTCCTACTTGCAACAAATCACTGAAAAAGCTTTGATCCTTTTCTTGCACTAAAACTAAAACGAAATCCACCACCATGGAGTCAATTGTGACTCACTGTGACCCTATAGGAAAGAATGGGAGGGCACCATAGGGTTTCCAAGGCTGTAAATTTTCATGGAAGCAGACTGTCTCATCCTTCTCCTTCAGAATGACTGGTGTGTTTGAACTGCCAAACATTTGGTTAGCAGCTAAATGCTTTAACCACTGTATCACCAGAGCTCCTTTCATGCACGAAAAAAAGTCAAACCCAAACTCATTGCCATTGAGTCGATTCTGACCATAGTGACCCCCACTGGGTTTCCAAGGTGGTAAATCTTTATGGAAGTAGATTGTCCCATCTTCCTTCTGTGGCTAGTGGGTTTGAGTCACCAACCTTCTGGTTAGCAGTCAAATGCCTTTGGCACTATGCCACCAGAGCTCCTTTCATGCACTAAAGTAATGCTAAATAAGAACCATATTCAACTTTTCTAACTTACCTACAGACTCAACTTAAGAGACACACTTATGAATGGGTCTCATTCAGAACCTGGAGACTTCTTGGATAACTATTTAAAAAACAGAAACAAGAAAACATTCATCATGGAGTTGAGTCCCAACTGATGGGGACCCCTGTGAGTCAGAGTAGAACTGTGCTTCATGGGGTTTTCAATGGCTGATTTTTTTAGAAGTAGATTGCCAAGCCTATCTTTGGAGGGGTATCTGGATGGAGTTAAGCTCTTAACCATTTGTGCCATTCAGGGACTCATTACAACTATTAATTTTTTTTTTTTTTACTTTTTTTTTTTATTGTG